ATGCACTTTCAACACGTAATTGATGCCAACGGAGCACACATTGAGCACATTCTGTAACTGAATAAATTCTAATGATTATGACAGATTTTTTGTCCTTCTTTAGGTACCACAATTCCCCCTGGTGGTCAAAATTTGAACTATTTTTATAGCAGAAATTGTTTCTCCATAGTCCTTATAACATACATACCAAATTTCATCAAAATTCAGTAAGTAGAATGGGTTCTATAGTGGTCTGAATAGAATCACTAATTATAACCACTCTGTATATATGTAAGCACAAATGTATGTGTTCATATGTATGCATGTCTATATGTAAGCATAAATGTGTTCGTGTGTGTGTGTACATATACACATGTACATACATTTATACATTTCTGAATCTGGTCCCGATGACCGAACAGCACCTATGTCTCTAATTATAATTATACTAAATTAGTTAAATTCCATTGCCATTTTAGTATATTTTTTCTCATCATTTACAATTTACCATTTGGTTAATGTTATTCAAAATAGTCAAGAAGAAATGTGATCACATTAACCGCTTGCCTGATTATCCCGAGTTATCTCAGGTTCGTATATATTGCAGTTAATTATTATCCCGAGAAAACTCAGCGAAGCAGAATTTGTTAGTACATTTTCTTTTATCACGGTTTTACTCAGTCTGGAGGAAATGAAAGGAAATATTTAGCTTTGATTGGCAGTTTGCCAAATTTTGTTGGTTGCGCGGTTCTTTTGGAGGTCACGTGTTTTCCTATTGTATAGTATACGTTGGGTTGTGGATTAGTAATGTATAAAGAAGGATGCATGAGTTGGAAAAAAATAAAATAATTGCGATGATAGAAGATAGCAAAAGCGATGATTTTTCAGATAGTGATTATGAAAAGGTTGGGAAAATAATAATAATAATAATAATAATAATAAAAATTAAATCCAACGAGACAGTGTACTCTGTGCTCCCGTGAAAGAGATTCCAGCGGTTAGCCAGTAAGAAAAGAAACTAGATATCAGTGTAGAACATCAGGTATCACTCTGTGTTGTCCCTTGTTTCAAAAACTATCATACAAAGATTAAAATTAAACTTTTTTTTGTTTGCCCGAGATAACTCGGGATAGTAAACTAATATTAAAAATAAATGCTTTTACACCTTCAAAAAATTAAAAATTCAACTTAAAACCTTCATATTTTGATTTGTTTCGTTTTGTTGTATTTAATAATAAAATTAAAAAATGTGATGATTTTTTGCAATTTTCTTCAAAAAAATTTGTAAGGAATGCGGTTAAGCTGTGCCTACTATATGTATATTCTCACTGAAGCAGATTTATATAGTTAAACAAGGTGAAAGCCCCAGTTATTTTGGCAATTCAACTGTTAATTTCTATACCATCTTCTTCTTGTTCAATTTTTAATCAATAAAATCAACCAATAATAAAAAAAAAAAAAAAAAAAAAAATTCTTTTCTTCTTAAGATTTTTTTCAACAATATTCATGGCATTCCTTTGCCACTTTTCACTCAAAGGTTCCAAATCTGTCTGTAATTCCATAGCAACAATAAGAGTCGATTTTACACCATCAGTGATCAATTGTGATATATTGTTTTGGAAAATATCCAGCTTGTTTCTAACAGAAATCTGAGGCAGTAATAAAAACCGTATTACCATGTTCAACAATAGAATGCACATTAACTTTTATAGGCTGTACACATAACACCTTGTGTCGAACCACAAGTAACACCAGCCAGACATTTTGGTAGTTTAGATCTCATACCATATTCAACAATAGGATGCATATTAACTTTTATAGGCTGTAGCCATAACACCTTGTGTCGAACCCCAAGTAATACCAGCCAGACATTTTGGTAGTTTAGATCTCATACCATATTCAACAATACGATGCACATTAACTTTTATAGGCTGTAGCCATAACACCTTGTGTCGAACCGCAAGTAATACCAGCCAGACATTTTGGTAGCTTAGATTTCAAATGTCCTCGATGACTAATGTTTCAATAGCTAACCGGTAGTAAGTGCAAAGGAGAAGGGTTAAATGTACCCTTTATTGACTCTTTAAAATTAACAATGCGTCAACTTGACGCTAAAAAACTACGCCTCTTCTTGGGCGGTAACTGAAATTCCGATAACGAAACTAAAAATTTGAAGACATAAACAAGTGATAAAACTAAAATGCAGGGCTCAGCTAAATCCTGTTTCTTAAACCCCCGTCGAAAACTAGTAGCAGCAAATAAATGCAATTAAGCCATGCGAACCAGCAATAACTCTGGAAGCAAATGCTTAAACAGCAGTGGTGACGGCAGTAGCCTAACTCTTCCTCTTTCCTACTGAAACTCAGATTTTAAACTCTTTTTCAACATAGAATTTGCATTTTTTCAAGCGCGCTACCAAATTTAAATATTTTGGCACTGACAATTAGGGGAATGAAGGCTTATAGGGAAGAATAGCAAAATAAATAAAATTGGTTATTTAAAATAAATATAAATTCCTACACAGTATTTAACTACCATATTATTTTCATAAATTCAGGTGCTAAAAATATTTAAGACCTGCAGAAAGAAACTCTCTTGGCCATAAAGTCGGATCCAGTAGCACTCATCACCATATCATCAGCAAATAACAAGATATTAATTCCCCTGGACAGATCCAGAAATATTGTCAATTACATTGTTTATCATAACATTAAAATGAACAGGACTCAGTACTGCTACCTGAAGTAAGCCTATTTTTTTATTTTTCGATAACCCAATGCATTTTGTCCTTATTTAACACTTATAAATCGCTGGTCAAGAAAAACTTTTAATCCCTTTATATAACTTGCCAGAAATGCCACAGGAAATCAGTCTTTAAGCAATTCAGCTCTCCAAATTTTTTCAAAGCATTTTTGAAATCTACGAATACAGCTTTCTATAAAAGCCATCCTCTGTTTCTTGAGATAAGCAGACTATTTGTTCAGCAGTCCATCTGTGTCTTCGAAAACCCGCCTGCCTTTCAGAAACCACACCAGCTTCACACACCAGGTTTGAGGATTGGTATTATCATAGCCTTTCTCCAGGCACTTGGCAAACCATTTCTCCATATTTAGTTTATAAACTTCAATAATGCAAATTTCGCTTAATCTCCAAGGCTAGTGAGAAATTCAGGTAACATCCTGTAAGGCAGCAGTTCTCAACCTTTTGACTAACGCGTACCATCTGAACAAAAATTTAAAACCTTTACTACCACCACTACAAAATATAACTAAGTAATTGCGGATTTCACTCATAGATGTCTTCAGTTGAACTTTTAGGGTAGCAGACGTAGTACAAATGTAAAACACATTTCATTATTTGATAGTTGGCAATTCAGCTGTCAATCGGTAAAAAAAGTTTTTTTGATTGGTTGTGTGGTTTTCATTTGGCGTTCGTTGAAAAATGGGAAAACAAAAGGAACATTTTCATCATATTTTTCTTTTTTTTTTTCCGCAAAGGGAAAAACGCATCGCAAGCTCATAAAAAGTTATGTGCTGTTTATGGTGACGAAGCCTTAAAAGAATGGCAGTGTCAAAATTGGTTTGCCAAATTTCGTTCTGGTCATTTTTCACTCAAAGATGAAAAAAACGCTCTGGTCGCCCAGTTGAAGTTGATGACGACCTAATCAAAGCAATAATCGATTTGGATCGTCCACAGTACAACACGTGAGATTGCAGAGAAGCTTCATGTATCCCATATATGCCATTGAAAATCACTTAAAACAACTTGGCTATGTTCAAAAACTCGAATACACGGGTTCCTCACGAAAATGAAAGGAAACGCATTTAACGCAACGCATTAACAGCTGCGATTTGCTAAAGGAACGAAATGAAAATGATCCATTTTTAAAACGACTGATAACTGGCGATGAAAAATGGATTCTTTACAACAATATCAAGCGGAAAAGATCGTGGAGCAGGCCAGGTGAACCAACTCAAATGACATCGAAAGCTGATATTCATCAAAAGAAGGTTTTGTTATCAGTCTGGTGGGATTACAAAGGAATTATCTACTTTGAACTCTTACCACCCAAACGAACGATCAATTCTGATGTCTACATTGAACAACTAACGAAATTAAACAATGCAGTTGAAGAAAAGCGGCCCGAATTGACAAATCGAAAAGGTGTTGTATTCCTGGTCACTCTGCAAAAATTATTGGAGCTTGGTTGGGATGTTTGACACATCCACTATATAGTCCTGACCTTGCACCATCTGATTACTTTTTGTTTCGATCTTTACAATAAAAATGTCAATAATGATGATGATGTCAAATCGTACCTGATTCAGTTTTTTGCTAATAAAAACCAGAAGTTTTATGAACGTGGGATTATGATGTTGCCTGAAAGATGGCAAAAGGTCATTGATCAAAATGGGCAATACATTACAGAATAAAGTTATTTAGTTCCATAAAAAAATTGTCTTTGATTTTCTAAAAAAAAATCCACAATTACTTAGTGGCCAACCCAATACTACTACTACCACCACTCTTGAACAAAGCTCATCGTATAAATTTAACAGTGTTAGAGAAAAAACTCAATCAGTATGTCGGGGGTTTTAATTTTTGAATTTTTGAAGGCATGCGCTCTTGTCCTCCACTCAAGGTTTCTAGGTATAATGAAGCAGAGGCATTTAGTGTTTTAATTCTCATTCAAGTTTTGAGGAATTTTAGGTTTCAGAGCTAAACCCTTGGCTGGTTAGAGGGTTAAATGTTTTAGTTCTAACTTTTAAGTATGTGTTTGCTTATTTTATAATTTTATGAAGTAATATAAATGTAAGAGAAGCTACTCATGCTGTAATTTCTATAGGCATTATTTCTAACTACTTTGTAGTTAGAGTTTACTGATATAGTTTCTAGCTCCCCCCCCCATTTTAATCATAAGCTTATTCTTAAACAAGATTCTAATTTAGAATGGAATCTAAGTCTAGATTTAACATACTGTTTTAAATAAGAGAAGATTTGCAGAAAGAAATTCTAATGAACTGTTAAAATATAGCAAAAAGCAATTTATTTTAGTAGGCATAACAGACATTGAAAAAGTAAACAACTAAATCATGTAATTATCCCAGAGGATGTAATATTTATCTGTTGTTACTCAATGTAAAATAGAATTTTAGAATTACAAGCTATTATTATTACAATAATGCAGAACATTTTCATTAGTTGCACTACTCAAAACTGAACAATTCTTCTAAGTAAATAAAAAACAGAAATCTACTCATAGTTATCTTTTTCATGTCCAGTTCTATAACTCAAATGTACAAATAGAATATAACCATTATAAAAATCAAGCCACAAGACAGTTTTAATTTGAAAGAATCATGCAGATACAGCAAATCTCCAATAGTCAGCTCTGGATAATGATCTATATTTCACTACAAGACATGTAGTTATAAAGTAAAAATACTTCAATATGTGTAAAATGTTAAACAAAAACAATATAAATATTAATGTTTAATGTAATTTAAATGAACATACACATCTCACATACACATCTTACAGAAAAACATATTATAAAACATATTACATATTACAAATGCTTTAAAAGCAAAATATTATTTCATGCTCAACCGAAGTAATAATCAGCATCTTATTCCTGTGAGACCCTAGGCAGATACAGTATTATAAGTCTAAAAAAAGGTTAAAAATTAATAATTCAGAAAGGTAATTAAATGATTTCATAAAACAGTAGACAATAATTTGTTTACAAAATTGATTTCACAAAGTATAGCAATTTTACTAAATTTTCTATGTGATAATGATTCTTTCTCTAAAAAATCGCACAGAACTATTAATGTCGTATCTTTTTACTTAATTATATTAGTCTGAAACAATACACAATATAATAAAAATTGAAGAGATAAGCATTTCTTGATATGATTCTGGTAACAAAACTACTCTTAAGAAAATAAAAGGTAATGCAAGAGTTTAAATATCATGCCATAAATAACATTAATGTTTTCATTAAAAAATGAAACAAACAGAATTCCATACACATTTTTAATTCAATGAAACAAACAGAACTCCATGTACATTTTTAATTCAATCTCCTTTAGAGTTCCCTTGAAGAATTAAAAAATCTTGATATACATGTAATAAATGATACAACAATACTATTAATCCTTGTGTGTATATATTCACAGATGTCTGTAGAGTTCAGTTTGCTTTCTATGGCTTGTACTCAGAATCTGATGGATTTCATTGTTCGCTTCATGCTTCAGTTAAAAAAGAAAAAAAAAAAAAAGTTTAAAAAGAATAAAAAAATTTTACTGCAATAAATAGAAATAAAATAAGAGTTACTTAATGTGATCCCATTTATTATTTTAATAACAATAAGAAAAACATGCTCTTCAAAATAGCAATGGAATTTAAAGAATTTAATATAAATATAGCCAGAAACATATAAATAGATATTTTCCGCACTTTTTTATTAAAAAAGAAGAAAAAATTGTTTACATCTGTCTTTAATGCAAAAGTTCATTTATAAAATATTTGTAAGAGAATATTCCAATGTAAAATTTTATATTAACCTTTAACTGCTATGAGCGGGTCTGAGAGACCGCTGGGGATTTTCTAACCGTCATTTCCACCACTAAAAATGGAGAATGGTCTCTGTACTTTCTTCTACCTTCCCAAACCCATCCCAGAAGGTCACATATTCAGTTTCACACTTCTAGCTCTATTATGGTTTCAGTTACAATGTTTTTTACTTTTAAGTTGTTTGGGAGACCGCTCACAGCAGATGCATACCGTTTTAGTGGCCAATAGACGTTATTTATCGAATGCTTGTTTTTCGTAACAGTGATAAATATGTCTTCAAATTTTACAAGAAAACATCCAGTATATCTCACTCAAAAAGAAATTGAATGTCTTGCAATAACATTTTTGATGTAGAATATTCTGATTCTGAAGAATCATGTAGACAGAGAAAGCAAAAGTGAATCTGAGATTTCTGTGGTTATATATCATAATTTTTCTAATGACTATGAACAAATTTTTATGGAAAAAAGCACTTCAAATGGTGTAAAAAAGGACCAAAATCGGGCAGTACAAAAACCAAAGCATGACATAATAATTCAGCTCCCTAGTCTGGAACATCCTGCAAAAATAGGCCCTAAAGCAGAGCCCGAAGATACTTGGAATTTATCTTCATACATACTGTTACAGTCATATCTGATGTAACAAAACTGAAAGGAGAAAAAAAATATGCTTTCAATAGCTAATCAACTTATTAAACCACATCTGAAAGTTGGGATAACTTCTACTTTTTTCGAAGGAAACTGAAGATACCAATTAGAAGAATCCTTGGACAGAAGAAAATTAAGAGAATGGATTTATCAAATCAAGCAGAAAAATTAGAAGAAAGAAAAACATGCAGTCTGTGCCCACCTTGTAAGAAGAGAAAAACAGCATACAGTACAAAGTCTTTAATCCAGACCTCAAAGCTACAAACTTTCTGCGCATTCGTCATGCTTGCGCATATGCGTTTATGCATGCATGTTTAATGCATAACGGACAGTATAAGCTAGGCTAAAATTATCTATTTCAGTTAATGTTGCAGATTGCGTTGTTCCTTAATCTTCTAATTGGATCCGCTGCCAAAGGATCTACAAAGCAAAAGCATGTTTCGATGTCCATCAAACAAAAAGTGGAATTGCTGCAAAAAATGGATAAAGGCATGAAGAAAGTGACCAGAGGTTAGTGAAAACGAAAAAATTTCGATTGACAAGTTAGTAGGTATTCTCAGCACAGCAATTACAGGACTTGAACAGCAAAACTTTAGAGAAAGTTTTAGCACATAAAACGAAACAACTTACATTGAAAGAAATGTTTAATAAAGTAAACAAATAAATATTAAGCTTTTTTTTAAAAAAAATTTTGATACCCTTTAGATCATAATTGCTCTTTATTTCATAAACTATGGTTTCATATTTTTAATTTTATAATTTCTGCATGCCATCTTACCAGATTTAAAATGATGATCTATAATCCAGAAAAACCCCTGATTAAAGACTTTGTACTGTATAATGCTTGGAATGCAAGGTACCAGTGTGTCTTCAGTGCTCTCAAAAACTGTGTTTTGACTATGTATCATCTTATGATTTGTATACTAGCCTATTATTAATTTATAATTAAACATTCTGTTCAATTTAACAAATCCTAAAAAAGAAAAGTATAAAAGACGTCAGAAGATATATAGGGGTATGCATAACTCAAACTGGGAACAAATTCTAAGAAAAGTATTGGAAGACCTTTGGACCAAGGCATTATTGTTACGGAGTACCTTTGCAACTTAATGCAATAACCTCCACATCATCGTTAATATAAAAAGAATTGGCTGAGAGAAAAGCATAAGCTTAGAAAAACGAACGAAAGCCGATGGGCTTATTCTCCATTACAGACAAAGAGACATTTACCTGTATTGAGCCACACTGCGCGAGGTGCAAGCCCCCGCGAAGACCTTTGGTGTTGTCATCGAGACCAAAAGTGATACTTTCTGCACGTTTAGATAGAAAAGACCATGTTATAGGTAAAAGACCAAACCAAATACGATGATAATTAAAAATATGCAAGGTAAGACCTCTTATGCTTTGTACAAAATGCGATGCAACACTTTATGTGAAATGTTTTCCACTATATCATACTTAAATATTACGAATTTGCTCAATAAAAATGTTAACTAAGTTTAGATCAGTAAAATAAGATTTTTTTTTTTCTTTTGAATCTTTAGCTGCTTTTAATTTTGCAAAAAATTCGTATTTTTTCAGCAAAAATTTGTCATTTTTTAAACATAAAATCCGATATGCGGAGCTGATATGAGAACTTGGACGAAAAAAGGTGTTTCTGATAGACTTGTGTGGGTTTGCAGTAAAATTGTAGCTAATAAAGTATGTGGGTGTCAGCGGAGTTTAAGGTTTGGATCTTGGTTTTCGTGTAGCAAGTTAATGTTGGAGGAAGTTTTTATTGTTACTTTTGAAATTTTGAATCGCAGGAAGGCATGTGATATAGCAAAATCGTGGAAGTTTTCTTCACAGACGTTGTGTGACTGGCGAAATTTTATTAACGAATGTATTTTGGACTTTGTATGCTCTGTATCTGAGAAGATAGAGGGAAAGATATTTCTGCTTTTAAAAGAAGCTTTCATTATGGTAAGTGGCATTTTATTTCATTATTTTTATTTTGTAGAATGTTATATTCATTGTTTTTGTATGAATTTCCGTTTTTTTGTTTTTTTTTGAATTGCCTGAAATTTATTTTAGTTTATTTTCTGATTTGTTTTTAGTGTAGATTGTGCAATTCGTAGATGTTGTTTAAAGTTGAAACAGAAAGCTGTGTACATGGTATTCTTTGAAATTTATTGTTGTTAATTTATTAAAGCGAGGTGTGCGTAGTTCGTAGATTCATTCGTTGCCTACAGTGTGCCATTCGTAGATGTTTTTTTTTTAAGTTAAAACATGTCGCTGTGTACATGGATACTTATCAAATATTTTTGGTTAGAAACTTTACGTTTTTGCTATCTAAATTTTTTGTTTTTGTTTCCGATTTTTAGCGTAACTCGTGTGTCCAAAACGTAGTTTTTGCATGTGAGAAAACCACGTTTTTGGAGACATTTTAGACTTAAAGTTCGAAATGTTAGACAAAAAAATTTAGATAGTAATATGGCAGTGTGAAGTTTCTCCCCAAAAATGTTTGGCGAGAAATTTAGCGACTGGAGCGGCGCATATCAGAGTAGTTTTCCTAAGTTCTTTCAACATGAATTCTATTGATCCTGCTATTCAGTTCACTTTTGAGCTTGAGACTTGCAATTCTCTTCCGTTTTCTCGACATTCTGGTCACACGTAACACTCCAACTTCAGTACTACGGTTTACTGTAAACCTTCATCGGTTTGCTTTCCACCACACCTTTAAATCATGTCATCCGACTAAACAAAAGTTAGCTTCATTTTATTCCTATGTTTTCCATGCTCTTCAAGTTTGCTCCTCCAAACTATCCCTTGAGGAAGAACTAAATTATTTAAAAGCAATAGCTATTGACAGGGACTTTTCACCCAACATTATTAATCAAGCAGTTAAAAAATTCTCATCTCAACACACTAAAAGGCACACTCTTGTTTTAGATTATAAAAATTCTGTTGTCATTCCCTTCTTTCCATCAATTAGCTATAAAGTTGCACATATTTTGCAGAAATTTAACTTTCGGGTTGTTTATTCTTCCATCAATAAAATTCCGTGTTCCATACTCAAGGACGCCATTCCGGATATGAATTCCTGGGATATTTTTAGGATTCCTTGCCAGTGTGGTTTAATTTACATTGGCCAAACTAAGAGAGCCTTAAAATTTCGCGTTGAGGAACATGAGGCATATGTTAAAAAAAGGAAACACAGAAGTCTTCTGTTGCTCAACATTGTTGGTCCAAAAATCACACTTTCAATTTTTCTGCTGCTAAAATTATTCAAAAAACATCTTCCATTGGAGAACTAGATTTTCTAGAGGCATTTCACATTCATAAAAATCTTTCTGTTCTAGTTAACGATCCTAATTCCAATCCAATTTGCCTTCGGCTTTTAGAGAAATTATGTTTTAGTTCTGGTTTCGCCAACAGATGGCGCCACTTGCTTATTCTTGTCCAGGCTTTCCTTATCTTATCTAATCATTATTTCCTATCTTGTTCATTTGTGGTTTTGCAGCTGAGGATGGTGGTTCGGTAAAACCATCGAAACTAGTCCTGTGAAAAATTTGTAAATGTAACTCTGATTTTTGTTGTTTGACTTCTGAATTAGTATTTATTTGCGTGTTATTGTGTCTTAATTATAATTCAGTTATTTTATAGAATAGCTAGGTGTTTCATGAAAATAACTAGCCATGCCAGTTAAAGTGTCTGATAGATTAATAATATCACACTTTATGTAGTTATTCTATAAATTAACTAATGATAGATAACTGAAGTGAAAAATTAATAATCTGATATTAAATGAGTTCACGGTTTATAAATTACAATAAATAGTTGGCCTCTCGAGAAATATATTTTATGTATTGATTGATTAATTGATAAATAATAAAGAAAAAAATGAATATATAATATACAGTCAAAAGTCGTTAATTCGGACACCCATAATCCGGACCTCAAAGCTAAAAACTTTCTGCGCATGCGCCGCGTTGGCACATACGCACAGGCGTTTTACGCATGCGCGTAAGACCTTGACTACTGCGCATATGCGTGTGTGCGCAACTGCAGAATACATTTTCGCCTGCGCGTTTAATGTATAA